CACCCTGGGCTGGGTCCACATCCTGGGGCTGCCCCGGGGGCACAGTGCTTGCCGAGCGCCCCGCCCACGTGGTGGGTCATCGGAACCGTCGCCGCCCGGCCCTTACCAGCAGCTTGGTGTCCTTGATGACGCACAGAAGCTTGGTCCACTGGCCAAAGCGCTTCTTGCGCAGCAGGAAGGCGCAGATCTTGGCGTCCTTCACGAGGTCCATGGAGGCCTCCTCCGAGGGCCACTGGTGCCGGGCCTTCTTCCCCTTCCCATCCTCTTCCTCCTCGTCGTACGACTCGTAGGAGCTGCTCATGGCGTCCGAGTCATAATCTGTGGAGAGGCAGGCAGACGGGGAGGGCAGCTGAGCCCGGAGCTCACCTGCGGGCTCGGGGCCTCGCGGCCACATTCCGCCACCACGGAATTCGCGTGGAGCAGCACCAGCGTGGGCAGTGGCACCCGACCGTGTATTTACACCCATCGCCCCCACTCGGTCCCGTATGCACAGGACACTGTCTGGACGCCATGCCGTGGATACTCGCCAGGCCCCACGTGAGCACCTGCAACTCCTGCCCACGTGGGCCTTGGCCCTCCCGTGCCCACAGCTCGGTGAGGAGGCCCTGAGCCGCACCGCCCACCCCTCCCGGCACTACCACATGTGCAGACCCTTCCCTTCCATGGACACAGGTCCCAGTCCCGAGATCACCGTGCTGTGCACAGAATGCTGTTTCTGACACGGGTGCAGCACTCTGCATTCTGGGGTCTCTGCCAGGACCCAGGCTTCCATGACACCCGCTCCCTCTTGGCCTGGCTGGGCTGTGTGCCCCTTGGGGACACCTCCTCCAGCCAGCCCTCCCTGAACACCAAAGCGAGTGTTGCAGACTGACCGGGACCTCCCCAGCACTCACATGTGCAAGGTTTAATTTACTGGGACTCTGGAAACGAGGCTTTGAGGTGGTGATGCAGGCTGAAGCTGGTCACAGGGCAGGATGCTAACCCAGTAGGCCTGGCAGGCAAGGCTCACTCTACTGTCTGTGCCCTGCGGGCAGACCGTGACACATGGCACCCACGGGCAAGTAGGGGCTGGCACAGAACCAGACGGTACCACTGCCACTGGATCGGGGACTCCAGCCTGCGAAGCCGGGAGAAGGGTCCCCTCTGTCACGGCAGGCGGAGCCCAAGGACAGGCTGGGTCGAATGCCTCCTCTGTGCCCCCGGTGCCCCACACAGGCCCTCCAGTCACGTGATGCCACGCAGAGTGCCATGAGCCCTGCGGAAGGGAGACCGTCTGCTGGGTGTGGCAGCCAGCACTTTGAAGAGTTCCTGCTCGTACTGAGTACACAGCAAGGCAGGAAGAACTGTCCCACGAGCCCTCAGGGTGCGCAGCCCACGCGAGGACTATCGCCAGCCACTCGGGAGGACGAGCTGCTAGAGGTGGTGTCCGATGCGCCTCTGCTCTGCTCCCCTCCATCCTTGGTCACCGTCCAAAGCCTGAGAAATGGGGGCAATGACGGACGAGACGGGTAAGGAGAGGCCACGGCCGCACGGGGCACCCCATCCAGCAGAAGCTGCAGCAGTGGCAGACCTGCCACACCGCAGGGCTCTCCATCCTTGCAACCAGAATCCACACGCAGAGCAGCGAGCAGACAGATGATCGGCCCGAGAGGATCTTCAGTGACGAGGAGAGGCCTAGGAGGATTTGGGGCAAGCGCCAAGGTGCCTGCTGGGTAAGTGTGCAGCCGTCCCGGGGGGATGGCTGCTGTGGGACTGGGCGGGGCCCGCAGGGACACCCAGGAAAGGTGCTGAGGGAGGACGGAACACTCGGGGTCCCCTCCGCCTCCGCTTCGGAGCCCTCCAGAGCTCGGCTTGTTTTCTGAAACATCAAGCTCCGAAGACATTTTGTGTCAAGCGGAGGAGAGAATGACAACAGATCCATGAGTGGTGACAGCGCCCTTCCCTCCTCTCGGGGCAGCCAGGGACGGAGTCCGCACCCTGCCCAGGCGGTGCTCTCTGGAGCCCATACACCAGTGTGGGGACACAGCCCGGAACACAGAGGCTGGGGCACGTGTGCAGAGGCTCTCACAAGGCCGCTGGAGCTGGGGAGCCCTGCAGTCTCATTCAGAGGAGAGAGAGCGAGGCTCAAAGGCGAAGGCACTAGGCCAAGACCACGGCCCAGTGGACCATGGCTGAGCCGGGAGCCAGCGCGCTGGATTCCACACTGAAAGGGCAAATGGCATCCTGCCAGCCCCTCATCCTGGGGACCGGCTGCGGGCAGCAGCTGTGAAGAGACAGAGCGCTCCCTGTCCACCTTGCTCTGACAGCAGGCTGAGCCCTCTCTAGAAGACTCCGTCCAACTTAGCAGGAAACAAGAGCATCCAGGAGCAAAAGGGCCTCACAAAAATCAACTCCAAAAGTCGCCTTCGGCAGTTGCCCAATAAAGGAAACAGAGCCCCTCATGTTCACTCGGCACAGTGATGGGGTCTCGGACCCACTGGGGTTAGGGACCCCAGGAAGCCCGTCTGGGGGCTGGGCTTGTGGTCACATGAGGAGGGCAAGAGCAGTGCAGGAGTCAGAGAAGCAGCAGGAGGGAGGAGCCCCGAGCACCTCTGACACAGCGGAAGGGGATCTCGGGACAGAGAGGGTGCTAACCTGCACCATCAGCCCGGCACAGCCTCGCTGAGGGCTCCACATCGTGCAGGATGCGCCAATAAATGGTTATTTTTAACTACAAAATATTTGTTCCAGATTTAAAAAAACACACCAGCACAAGTGCAATGGCACAGAGTGCACATCCAGCGGAGCAGCCCCTCCAAGGATGGCTGCGGTGCCGGCCACCGAGGGTCGCCCCTCACACACAGCCCAGGACTGGTCCTCAGTGCATCCTCAGAGCCCGCAAGCTCCCGGAGGAGCTAAGTGCTGTGTGAGCAGGGCACCCTGTCCGCACACCTGCCCCCGGGGAGCAGGGGGACCGGCTGCCCACCTCACAGTGACTGGCCGGCTCTGAGCAGATAGCAGCCTGGGAGCCGCCAGGCCTCTCTGGGGTCTGACCTTGAGTTTCAGAGAAAGAACAAGCGCAGCAGAAAAGTCCTGGGCTCAGGCAGCAGTTTCAGGCGGGAGGTCCTAGGGTCACAGGGGCTGTGCCCCTGAGGGGACTGTGGGGTGCCGGCCTCCCTTCTCTCGGCTTCTAGGCACTGAGGTGAGAGGTTAGGCTCCACCACGCACTCCTGCCACAGGCACCTCCCTCGCCACAGGCCCAGGGCACGGGGCCCCTCAGTGTCGGGCTAGAACCTCAGAACCATAGGCCAAAATAAACCTCTTCTCTTTATAAAAGTCAGTTGCCCCAACTATCATCTCCTTATAGTAACAGGAAGCTGACTAATGCATCTCTTTCCTTGCTCCTGCATTTCAAGAGTTTTGATGACCATAAAAGGGCACAGCTTAGGTGTTTCACACACAAAAAAGAAAACAATTGCACAGACAAATCAGCTAAGGAGCCATAAAAGCAGCCAGCCATTAATTCAAGTATTTACTGAGCACTTCTGAGGCAGACACAAAACAGGGAAATGTTTACCTGCTTCATTTGTACGCTCCAGTGGGAGACGGACCCTGTGGTGGGAATGAGCCACGCCAAGCACACTAGGGAACACAGCTAAACTCTGGAGATGTCCCTTCGGGTTTCCCTGTGAGGATGGTGGCTTCCACTGCTGACGAGGAAGGCCAGTGGGTCCTGTGCAGAGCAGTGACCGACTCCTGCTCGGAAACGTCCTGTGGCCGTGCCAGGTCTCATCCCCAGATCTCCCCCTCATCATGAAGGCTCTGCCCCTCTAAACAGATCCCAGCTGTCCCAGACGGTGATGGGCACCTCTGGCAGGCTCGGGCAGGTGAAGCTCTTGCAGACCCCTGGACTCTGATGCCCAGTTATATCATCCTTTGAAGATCACTATTTTACTTTTGGAAACTGCTGTTGGCTGGTGAAGCTCCAGCAGAGGCGAAGGTTCCACTACCAGACACCAAGGCAGGATGCAACCTGAGCTGCCTTGCAGGAACTGTGGGTTAACTGATGGATCAAGGAGCGTGCCATCACCAATCAGAGCAGTCCACAGGGCACTCCTTCACCAATCAGAGCAGCTGTTATGGTTGTGCCTAGATGTCCCCACAGAGCCTCATGTGGTCATAGGTGGAGCTTTCTCAGAGGTGGCTGAATCTAGAGTGTGTGATGCTGGGATTGAGGGTGAGTGATTACCAAATCAATCCTCTGATTGGCTTGGCACTACTCTAATCCTGGTAGCCTCAACAGAATATAAAAAGGGGAAGACAGAAGCTAAGATCACTTGTTGGTTTCCTTGCTTGCTTTGCTGCCTTCTGCCCACCATGGACAGTTTCTCCTCTGTGATGCCCCTTAGCCATGTTGCCCTGCCTTGGAGACAGCTGACTATGGATTGAAACCTCTTCAAACTGTGAGCTAAATAAACCTTTCCTCCTTTGAGTGTCAGGTATTTTGTCTCAGCAATGAGAAAAGTAAATAATTCACGTCTGTGGGGGCACTCCATCACCAGTCAGAGCAGCCTACAGGTCACTCATCATTGGACTGAAGTGGGTTAACGAGGTCCACATAGGTCCCAAGGACATGAACAAGCAGCAAAAGCATCTCGTTTCAATGGCCCTGGCCAGTTCCTGTCATGCTGCATCCTCCTGTCAGTTCTGATCCACCAGCAGTGCCTTGAGGCCTGGCTGTGTGCTCGGGACTTGAAAAGAACCTGACAGAAAACTGGTACCCAGTAGTCTGGGCACAGTGTGGTGTCTGAGTGCCAGGTAAATGCCTGGCAAAGCTGCCTCAACAGGCGGGCACCATAACCCACACGTGTCAGTCACCTTCACAGACTCGTTCACATATAAGTGGCTGTGGTGGCAGTGAGGAGGTGAGTGTAGAAATTGGCAGTGTGGCCTTGCACTCAGCCAAAATGGCCCGGGTGCTTCCGGTCCTCCACCTGCAGATAGCAGAGTCCAGCACTGATGCTCCACGAGACACCGCCCCTATCAGCTGCCCTCAAGAGTTGTCACCACTGTCCTGCAGGAAGGGATAATGAAAGCGAATCTCCTTTCATCCCTTCACATGCAACCCTGCCCGAGCAAGGGCCTATATGCCACACATGAAGGACAGCAGCCTGCAGAAGTCCGCCAGACGGGCAGGTGGAATGGGTTCTGAACCTCAGGGACAGTGCCGGCCCTGCTGACACCGTGGGGGCTGGGCAACATCTCCGAGTATCTCCCAGTGGAGTGCACCCCGGCCCCACAGCCAGGACTCGCCAGGCCCAAGGACGGGCAGTGGCTCCTCCCAACACATGTGCCTCCCTTCCCCAGGGTTCTAGTCACACTGGCCCAAGGACAGGAAGTGGCCATGCTTCTACTGAGCAGGAAGCAGAGACTGTCCCCAATCTTGCCAGGTTCCTCGGGTCAGGAAAGCCACAGGCAGAGAAAGTGTCGCGGTCACCGAGGAGGTTCAGGGAGCTGATCCTGAGTGTGAGGAAGCTGTGACCACAGCCGTCCACTACAGGAAGTCCTGGTGGCCCGGGCCTTCCAGTCAGGAGCTGGGTCACCACCAGAGGCGGCACTCGGCCATGCAAGGAGGCTGCAGTGGCAAAGCGAACCCGGCTGGTGTTGAAGGAACTGGGGTGCTGCTGGCCCCGAATACATGGGAACTGAGCTCGTGCAGGGCCCTTCCTTGTTTACATGCATAAACGTGAGGGCGAACACCTTCCTTCCCCTCCTCCTGTGTGAGAAGGGCCCACAGTGGCGAAGCTCATCTGGGGGTGTAAGGCCCTCTGAAGAGAGGGGACGTCGCTGGGGCTGCATGAGGGGAACCAGGGGTTTTCTGCCACGGGTAGCAGCTGAATGCCGAGCCACAGGGTGTGCTGTCAGCCACGTCGCTGGCATGGGGTCACGCAGGGTCACGGCCTTCCAGGTCCCACCAGGCCCTGGCTCAAGGAGGACGGTGCCTGGGGCTCTGGGAACAGCTCCTGGCCCCTCCTGAGTGGCCCACAGGACATCAGTGAGTGGACACACGGGTTCCAGCCTGCCCTTCCTCGTCTCCAGGCCTCTTCCCCACAGCCGCCTGATAACAGCCTTCCACGCCGAAGCAGAGTGGCCAGCTCAGTCCCCAAACCCCTGCACTCTGACAAAGATGGAGCCGACTCGGGGTTCAGCGAACTGCCCCGAGCTCCTGTCTAACCGGAAAAGGTCAGCTTCTGTGTGACCCCAGCTTGGTGAGAGGGGACCCTTAGAGGCTGAGGCAGTGTGTGGCCTCTCTTCTGCCAAAAGATTCTTCGGTGGAAGAGAAAGCAAGATATTCATTCCCCTGGCAGCCCTCAGCTGAAATGCCCTGGCCGCGGAATCAAGCAGTCGCCCACCAGGGACGACTGACTGGCAGGTGCCGTGGTCCGGCAGGACGTAGGGGCTGGGTGGGCAGAGGGAGCTCAGCCTCGGGGCAGTCAGGCTGCCCTCTCCTACTGGCCCCCAGGAAGGGATGCCCGTGGTGTGGCCGGAGTCAGACTCTGAGCAGAGAGGAAGGGGCTAAGGGGCAGCGGGCACCACGAGAAGGCCACAGGAGCCACTGCTCTTCCGCCCGCACAAGACCCGCTGACCCGGGGCCTCCCGGAAGTACTGAGCCAGACACCAGGTGGCACGTCCGCCTCCTCAGAGCCCTCCCTGCATCGCCACCTCCCCTGGCACCAAGCTCACGTCGCCCCGGCCTCTGCGGGGGTGCACAGGGCCCGTCCCCTCCACCCTGGGCCCCGCGGGTGGGCCCGCCACTCACTGGACGTGATGTACTCCGGGGCCTTTCCGGGGCTCAGTGGCACGGCTTCCTCATAGTAGCCTTCCGGGAGGGAGGACGTCGGCAGCGGTGGGGGCCCGCTGTCAGGAGGCTGAGGACGGAAGGAGACGGCACAGAGATGAGCGGCACGCAGGAGGGGAGCCACCTCTCCCACTCACACGCAGCCCCTCCTGCCCGAGCATGGACCCGGGCTCCTGACAGATGGAGGCCGCTCTCTGGAGGGAACACTCGGTCCTCACAAAGCCCATCCCCTAGTCCACGCCATCCTCTGCTCCCTCTGAACGTCCACAGCGCCTGGTTTGCCCCCGGCTGCCGCTGCCAAGGGGAGAGGCCAGAGAGGCCGTGCCGCCAGACCCCAGCCCCTGCCTGCACGGGCCATGCCACGCACTGTCACGGTGACATCGGCCCATCTGACTGGAGTCCCGGAGGGGAGCTCTGGCTTCACACTGGGCAGATGCAGAAATTGGGGCTGAGGCCCAAGTGCGCAAAATCAGCCCACACGTGGGGCAGGGCTTGCAGGCGCCGGGCCTGGCCGTGAAGACCTTGTGGTGTTCGGTGCCTCCAGGGTGGTGGACCTCTCCACACACCTCCGTCCTGTGACTACAGGGGAGGAAGAATGCTACAGGGACCAGAATGGAGTGAGGCCCGAACTGAAGCCCTACCAAGTTAAGCTTCCAAGTGGGACACTGTTCCGATGAAATCGTGGTTTTCTGCTGTTTATTTTTACATAAAGTGTCTAGAATGTGGGCTTCCATTACTGTCCAAGGAGTCCTGGGTGGATGACTAAATCAGCGCTGCAGTCCAGGCCACACCTCCCACCCGCCAGCTGGGGGAGGCAGGAGCAGGAAGAGCAGGATCGTGGCTACCAGGCAGACTCTGCCAGTCCTCCCTGCCCCTGGCCTTGTCCAGGGACCAAGCTCCCATCAGGAGGCCATCGCCAGCCACCCTGCCACTCGGGACGGGCCACTCCCAGGGCCTCCACAGTCTCCCGAAGAGCCCGTTCTAAAACAGAGCCCCATATGCCACGCTCAGTGCCAGGCAGGGCCGGGGCAGGGGGCCGTGTGGGTTAAAATCCTGCCTGCTGCTTTTGGAGAGGAGAGGTCTGAGTTGCTGCGGGCCTTATCTGGGAGGAGCAGGTGCTGGGCATGGTGACACAGTTGGATTATTCGCTTCCCGGCTGTATCACGGAGGCTGACTCGGCAGCCCCAGTTACACACCCAGGTCAGATGCCTTTCCCAAGAGCTTCAAGGAAGGCGGCAGTGACTCCTACTCAGGGGACATCCAAACATACCTGTCCAACCCTATGGCGGTTGCAGAGAGACAGGCTCTGGGGTCCCATAAACCTACCCCTGGAAACATACGATCACAAAGGTCCATTGTGGAGGAAAAGATGCCCAAGGAGGCTCAGCAAAACCCAAAACAACTTAAGGGTTCCTAGAGAAGAAGGCGCAGTGGTAGCTGCTCCGTAGGCAGACACAGAGCAGCACAGTGCGGTCTTTCCAGGTCATCTCCAAAGACACTACTGAGTGAGAGACAACAGCTCCGAGATCCCTGACCTAAGTGTGTGCCCTTGCTTGCGTAGCACTGACAGCAGGACACACCATAGCAAACACTTGCCTCTTCCTTGCACTTATCTGGCTGGACTGCATTTTTCATATGATGGCTCTCACCTTCAAAATAATTTTGCTTTTTTGTTTGTTTGTTTTTTTGGTTTTTTGAGACAGAGTCTCACTATGTAGTTGAGACTGACCTGGAACTCACTATGTAGCCCAAGCTGGTCTCAAACTCACAGCGATCCTCCTGCCTCAGCCTCCAGAGTGCTGCAGGCATGTGCCACCATGCCTAGTTAAAAATAATCTTGTTTTAAATCAAACTATTTTCGAGCTGGGGATTTAGCTCAGGGGTACCATGCTTGCCTTGCAAACTCAAGGTCTGGAGTTCGATCCTTGATACCAGAAAGAAAAAAAAAAAAACCCACACCAAAAATCAAACTATTTTGACTTTAAAATCACACTGCTCAAAAAGGACTTGTGCAGGACCACCCTCTATCTCCAGAAATGATCAGGACTCCACTCCCAAACACCCCGGTCCTGGGAACCCTGCAGCTCGTTAGGGACAAACCAAGGGGAGGCTGAGAAAGGCTCCTGACTTAATCAGTGCCCGCTGCCGGGGAAACACAGCCAGGTCCTGGCCACTGGGGGACAGTTCAGTGGAATCACAATTATCGTGAGTTTCAAAGGCACACAAGAGGATCGTCTGGTTCCCAAAGAGACAAAGGGGCTGTGCCTCTGTATGCTTCACTTCCGGTGGCCCTGAGCAGCCTCCTTGCCTGTTGCGCTGCGGAGCTGTCACCTCCGTGCCATTCCTGACTATGAGTGCTGCTGCAGGGCTCCGAGCGGGGTCCAGGTCAACAGGGACCGACCCGGGCCTACCTGTGTCAGGAGCAACACATGCCCCGGCCTGCAGCTCGGCACAGCCTCATGGAGTCGCTCTGTGGGGTGCAGCGACTGAGGAGCCCCCAGCACTCACAGCCCTCTAACACACCCCCGTCCGTCCGTCCATCCACCCGGGCTTCTGCTCACCTCTCACAGGACCCAAGATGACACCAAGGACGGCAGCCTGGCCCACAGCACCCCCAGAAATCTGAGGAGAAACAGGCTGACCGTGGCCTCCACGGGCCCAGCGAGAGGACAGGGAGCCAAGGCCACGCCAGCGGCTGGGAACTGACATCGCTGCAGTGCACACCCTGTGCAGCACATCTTCACGTGTAGCTAAGAAAACCATCCTGGTTGCCCTGTGGGAAGCTATGCTCACCCTCAGGTGTACAAACTACAGGCTTGGCGGCTTCCAATGCCAGCTGTAGGTTGGTTCCCATGCTTCTGGACTGAAAAGCCCCTAGGACTGACCTCGATACCTGCAGAAGGGCCTCGGGAGGATTCTCTTCCTGAGGGCCACAGCAGCAGTTACAAAGGGTTCGTGTGTTGCTGTTATTTCAACAGCATAACGATCACAACCACTAGTTACCTCTTGCCTGCTAGGCCCACATCGTCCTAGGATGTCACCAAAGCACACCGAGACGTCAGTGGTGCAGCGGAGACCCCCCAGTCAGGACACGAAGGTCCAAGGGCTCCCCCAGGGCGCAGCCGCTGCGGGCTGACACCACAGGTGCTGGGGCTGAGCAGCCAGGCACCTGGACGACCTGTGCTTCCTGGCCGAGCTGCGCCTCCCGAGAGAAGAGGGAGGTCCCGCTGCCCCACACTCCAGCTCCCATCCTCCCCGTGACCATCCCTGTTTATTACTCGTCCTTGGTACAAGAAACACCAGTGAACCAGGAGGCCTGAGAAACAAGAGCCTAGAATCTGACTTTTTCTGCGCATACAGCGGTGCTCCAGACTGCGCCTTCCCGTCATGAGGGACAGACTCTGTTAAGAGTAACAGCCCAAAGTTGTGCATCTGAAGTGAGGCTATCAGGACCCAAGCTCACTCTGCCCGGGGCCTCTCCCCTTCTGAGCACACAGGCGCATGGGCTGCACTCCCCACGGGGCCTGTTAGGTGACTCCAGCCTCACACGGCAGGGTGCCGCTGGCAGCTGAGTGAAGCAGGCGCAGGGGTAGTGATGTCCAGGGGGTCACGAGGCTCACAGGGTGAGCTCCGAGACAGGACGCTGCTCGGCAGAGTCAGGACCCCGGCGGGTCGGGTCCGCCACCCTGTTCTGACCAGCACCCGGCTCAGTTCCACGCGGCACGGGAGCAAATGGGATGATGCCACGTTTCCTGAGCACGTGCTCCACCATGCACAACGAGACCACGACATCGCCCGGCCTCTCCGGGGAGGCAGAAGACTGCAGCAGGCTACACGTCTGGAGGCCCAGCAGGGAGGGAATTCAGGGGCACGGGAGGCCAATGCCGAGATTATCAACACCAAGGAAAACACGACGGACCCCGTCCCTGCAGAGTCCACACTGGGCTCCAGGGGAAGTGGGCAGCTGCCTCGTTTTAAGCCTTGAGCTTCAGTCTTAACTCTGCAACCAGTGGTGCCTAATTCTGTCATAGGGTCTCGCAGGCCTCTGCATCTCATCTGCCAGAGGTGACAGATGTGCTGCACAGGACAAGGGGACTTGAGACAGGATGGGATGCGCTCCGGGAGCCAGCGCCCGGGGCTGGGAGGGGCAGAGGCAGTGCTTCAGGGGACAGAGCTTCCGGCAGGGAAGGGACAGAAGCTGTGCAGATGGAGGGGGGACGGCCACACACACACGGCCCTGTGACCGGGCGCTGCGCACTTAAAATGGGCAGGACGGCGCATGTCCTGGTAGGCACGCTTCACCACAACAGAAAAGTTCACTTTCCTCTGCTGGCACAAAAAGGTACGAAATTTACATAAGCCCAGGCCCTAAAGATTAGAGAAGCAGACTGTTCTCCCTCACCCTCTGGACGCCGTGCCAGAGAGGCAGGAGCCACTGCCAGAGCCCACAGGTCAGTCCAACAGGAAGTGTGGAGGCAGCTACACGACAGCACGAGAGGTTCATTCTCACTTCTTACAGCTTTCAGGGTTCGGCCACCAGGACGCAAGGCCGTACTCGATCCGACACGTGCCCGCAAAGAGGCAACAACCAGCTGTGACAGCACGGGAAGTGATACGGGACAGACTGGACCAGAGAGAACCCTCGGGGCACGCCCTGCTTTGTGGTGAGTCCTCTGTCTCCACCTGCAGGGTGCTGTACCCTCCTCCCTGGGTCACGGCCCACACCCGAGAGCCCAGCAAGCCCGTGGCCCCGGCTCGACTCCTGCTCGCCTGGCTCTGTGGCCCGTGTTGAATGGGGCACAGCCGCCTTCCTTCTACTCCTGCCTACCCAGGACGAGCCACTCTGCCTCAAGGGCGAGGGCCGCTGACCTGAGCCAGGCCCTGGGCAACCCCGGTGCACTGCAAGGCTCCCTGGTCAAGTAGGCACTTGCTGGAAAACACTCCAAAGAATGAGATGGAGCTGTTCCAGTGACCCGCTGGACGTCCCCAGCCCCTCCACACAGCGCCCCGACCGTGTCCACAAAGCACTGACATGTGCCCGACAGGCTCCTCTCCGTCACAGTTGCAGAATGCCCCACTGGAGCCCACGGCTGTGAGTTGGCCTTGCTGTCAGAACTCGAGCTCCGTAACTGACTACAGCACTAATGCACCTGAGAAAAACTGGGTGCAAAGGACAGTTAAGGCTTCTCGAGGTGCTCAGGAAGATCCGGTCAAGACGGACTGGAAGAGCAAGAGCTACCCCAGTCAGTGTCAGTGGACCATGAGGCAGCCCTGACATTCTACAGGTTCCAGGCAGCTTTCCCACGCCCTAACGAACGAGGCGGTGAGATACAGTCGGCTCAGAGAGGAGAGGCTCTGCTCGGCTCCACGGCGGGTGTGTGGAGGAGAGGAACGTCTGTCTAAAAACAAGCCCTGGATACCTCAACTATCCCGTCCCCCTATCACCACGTCAAGATCACCTGAGTCCCCGGAGACCTGCAGGGAAAGACAATGCCAGCCTTCATACAGCCTGTCCCTGGCAGCGCCTCTGCAAACGGATCTCCCCTGACAGCATCACCCCACTCCCAAGCAGGAGCAGTTACCCCATGGGGACCACATGGAGCCCCCAGGCCTTCTCCAGAGCCACCTCACAGAAGCACAGCGAGCCAAGGATCACCAGGTCCCAGCACAGCACAGTGCCCGTGAAAGCTGGCCACTTCCTGTCCACGGCCACAGGCCTTCTCCACCAGGCCAGGCCCACTTCAGCGCCTCTCTCTGGCTCTCGCCCTGTTTTCTCACACTCCCCAGCTAAAGCTTTGCCTGGCCTCTCGCACATCCCGGGCTGGTTTTTAGCTTCCATCAAATCCAAAGTACTGGTGCCGGTTCGGTAGAGGAGCAGTACACATGGCTTGGGCAGGGCGGCACTGCACAAGGCCTCGGTGTCCCAGGGCTCTGGACGCACCCTATGGACGGGGGACCTGTAAGTGACAGGAAAGTAGGCCCGAGCTGTGCTCTGTGCAGGAATCCAACAAGCACGGGGCTCCTGCTTGGCTACAGTGATGACCGCAGGGAGTGCTGGAGGCTGGACTCTGTGCCAGGGCCCCAGTGGAGACAGGCGCAGGAGGCACCCCTGCCTCCCTGCTCACGTCTGATGATCCCCACTGCAAGGAAATATGGAGCAGGGCTGGGAACTGCATGCGCCCCAACTCTGGGCGAACGGTGGAAACTTAGAAAGCGGCTCGTGTCCTCAGGGTCTACCAACATTATTTTGCCAGCCAACTCCCCTGGGATTGTAAGTTATTTTTTGTTTTTGCTTTCTTTTTTCTTCTGCTGTAGGAACCCATTTCCAAGGATTTGGAGCACCAGCAAACTGCAAGGAAATACCGGCTTCCCGACGGGAGACAGCACTCAGAGGCCTCCAAGCTGCAGCTGCGGAGGATTCTGGACCTGGAAATGCAGCACAAGCTGGGGACACCAAGGCCTCTGGTCTCCAGCGCTGGCTTCCATCACACCGGGGCACACGCACAACCCAGGCTCCCACTCACCAGCCAGGGCTGCGGGATCTCCGGCAGGGGCATCTGCGGGGGTGCCGGCAGGCTGCTGGTCTCCGGCTTCTGAGCATGGTCCTTCACGTCAAAGCCTGCAAATGGAGGCCAAAACCAAGAGCCAGGTAAGCAGCGGAGATTTTCACATGGCAAATGAGATGTTCCGGGTCCTCTACAGCCATCCGGCGAGGGGGCATTGTTACTCTCCAGGGCCCAAGACAGGAGTCTATGGCAGGAAAGGAAAGGAAGGGAGGGGAGAGCAGGGCCTACGGCGACATCACCAGCTGGAAGTGATGGAGCCCGGTGCACCTGCGGCCCCACGGCCTCTCTCCTCCAGACAGCACTTCCTCAGGTACGAGGGACGGGCACCTTCCTGGGAGCCCACAAATTCTCACTGTTTTCTCCTTTCTCCCCTCTTCCCCTCACTAGTGTCCTGAACCCAGGGTCTCCACACTGAGCTACGTCCCTGGCCCTATTTTTTCTTTTATTTTGAGACAAGGTTTTGCTATGTTATAAGTTGCCCAGGCTGGGCTCCAACTCAGAACACCGCTGCCACGGCCCTCCAGGTACTGAGTACAGGCGTGTGCCTGGGAGCATGGACTTCAGGTGCGTTCCCACCGCCCCCTAACCGGTAAGGTTGGTTTACGGTGCCTCCCCCACTCCTGTAGGCAGCATGGCCGACACAGAGCCTCCACCCTTCCCGGAATCGAGTTCTGGCGTGTGCAAGGCATAGGGTATCCGCATGACCAGCCCAAAGAAGACCCTGAGCACGGAGCCAGCAGCCTCCCTGAACAGGAATGCTGCACATAGGCTGAGGACCGAACGTGCTCTGCGATGCTCAGGGGGCAAGGGCTCAGGACGGCCCAGCAGGGGCTCCCTGGACTCCCTGGGTCTTTCCAGCTTCTGGTGGCCAGGTGGGGTCTCCTCACCACTGCCCACATGCCCCGGGCATGCATGGTACAGCTGCGTACAGAGTGCTGAGTCCCGCGAGAGAATCCGCCGCGGGCACCTAGGACTCCATCAGCTTCTAGCAGCTTCGGCGTTCACACCTAGGGGAACGGCACCTGCTGCAAGCAAGGGCCCTCCATGGAAACCCGATGAGTAAACAATCTCATAAGAGGATGAACAAAGGAGGGAGCTGAGCTACGGACGCCAGGAAGCCGAGCGGGACCGGAAACTCAGGCCCCACGCTCAGGAGGTGGGGGAGGCTCACCTCGGGAGGACTGGATCCGAAGCAGGATGTTGGTCAGCACTGCCTTCTTCTCCCTGACAGTGGAGGTCAGGTATTCGTGGTCCAGAAGCTCAAGAAAGAGGCGGAGTTCAACTATTAACTCTTCCATCGCTGAAAACGAAGGAGGAGGGAGTCAAAATCCATGCGCACGGGGCTGCATCCTTAGCTCATTCCTTAAAGATCGCATTCTAAGGGGAAAGCAAGCTGGCTGAAACCAGGGCAGCAAGGGTCCTCACTTTGGCTCAGGCAGCAGAGCCCAAGCCCCCTGCCACAGGTGGAGTCAGGCCCAGGGCTGAAATCACCACCGGGTGCCGGACACGGTGCAAACTTTCAATGTCAAGGAGATGGGGACCTAAGGTGATACCGGGTTGCCAGTAACTCCTGGCCAGGACTTCAGAAAGCCAGCGCCCAGCCCCTGCCTCTGCAGGGCTGGCTGGCTCCATGGCCAGGATTCCGGGAGCCAGTTTATGTGCTGTGACAGGGCTGCCCAGTGCCCAGGAGGACGGAGCAAAGACCTTTCCACTGCTGGTGCGAATATGTGCAAGGGTAAAGCTGCCTGCATCTTAGCACAAACCAAGCAGACATCAAACCACACCCTTGGGCCGCCCCAGCCCTCTCCTGCCCCCTGTGACCACACCAGCACTCCCACAGGAACCGACTAGGGCAGCAGTAGAGAAACGATGGCTCAGGTATCATTTCTCTCTGAGACAAAAAGATGTTTATGTGGGAGTTGTTGTTTCTCCGAACTAAAACCTCAGTGTTCCGGTTTGATGGCAGTGTTAGCGCTTATCGATAAATAAGTGGGTTTGGGGCTGCAGTTGGGGTGCTGGTCTCTAAAAGGTTCATCGTCAACTGGTCTAAACAAACCCACTTGGGCAACTGTCCGAGTTCCGAGCCACCTTGTGCAACCTTTTGTGCGGCAGCATTTTTACTGCAAAGAATGAATGAGTAACAGGGCCAGCTGCGACTCCACCCTGGCTACTGACTAACTCAGTTCAAGGCTAACAATGGGCAGCATTTGTGGCCAGTGGTAAAATCTAAGCCTCCAAGTGGAAAAAGGAATTTTGGAAACTTTGTATCCACCACCTGAAGAGCTCTATACCCTCCCATCTAGAGAGGAGACAAGGGCAACAGTAACCGGGCTGGATTGCCAGGGGTCTACATTTGGGAAATCTGCGAGCTCTGCTGTTGTAAAATCAAATGTGGATGAAAGCAACCTTCCTGCAACAGAAAATAAACTGAGACATTCGCGGAGCGGAGACCAGTGCGGAATCAGATTCCTCTTCAAGGCAGGTCGTCAGAGTTGAGTTGAGTTTTGGGGTCATGTCAGAGAGCACCCAGCCCCTCCTGAAGAGGATGTGGAGAAACTCTTCCCTCTCCACCTGCTTCCTTGCAGGAGGCCAGAGGCCTCTCCTGTGCTTCCTTCCCATCATTTGAACAGTATGGATGGAGGAGATGTGAGGATCCAGAATCTTCTACCAAGCCAGATACGAAACACACTTGCAAAACTAAAGCAACGCTGTGCCCATGATACGTGGCACACACATGTGTGGGTGTGCGTGTCTGTGTGTTGAGCCCAGGGCCTTCACAACGTGCTACGACCCCAGCCTTTCACTAGTTTTTTTTTTTTTTAAATAAGAGTTTTGCTAAGTTACTCAGGAGAGCCTTGCACTTGCGATCCTCCTGCCTCAGCCTCTCTGAGTGCTGGGATTAGAGGCGTGTGCCACTACACCTGGCTTAAATGCAGACATTTTCCAGAAACATATTTATATATTAACATATAATGGATGTATGGATAATTTTGGTAAGTTAAAACCTTAACATTTTCCACTTTTACAATATAATGATAAATATTTACACACACACCCACACAGATGCAAGATCTTGGGGTCTTGTGTGTGTGTGTCTCAATGTGTGCATAGAGTGGGTACAGAAACACAGAGATATGTAATTTTTTGCAATGGCGCTAAAAGCTACAAGCAAAAGTATTACAAACTTTCAGGAGTCTACGCTCAACCCACAGCACCGCAGTCCTCTGTCCCCAGCTCCCCTATGTCCTCGCCAATCACATTTACCCTGCCAGGTTTACACGGGGTCCCCTGACAGTTTCGGTACCTAAACAAGACCTAAAAGCACTGCCTGTCTGAAAGCGTCTGCCTTCGGCCTCACCCTTGACCTCGCTGCGTCCTGCCTTCCCTGCCGCGGACTGTCTCTCCTCCTCTGGGCCCCTGGACCAGCCGCCCTGCCTTGGAGCCAGCCAGCTGTGGTGTAAAACCGCCACGTACTGTGAACCAAAATAAACCTCTCCTTGAAACTGCAGGTGCTGTGCTGTGCCTCGGCGATGATGAGGTGACAGCCACTGGAAGGAAAGGACGCGCTGGCTGCCACGATCCGAAGCCTGCTCCGTGCTGGGACACTGAGGGGCACAGGGGAGAAGGGCCGGCAGATGGACGCTGACGGCCTCCCGACACCTTCCCAGTGTGGGATTTCGAGCTGCATGCCAGCCCCGGTGGCCCTGTACCCTTGTAGTAAGGCATCACTGCGTTCTTCTTATCAAGCTAATCTTTAGTTTTCTGTTTACCTAAAATTACAACCAAAAGATTCTCAAGACATAGCAGAGAGCCACAAGGGTTAGAAAAGCTGCTCTGTGTCAGAATTTTCACAGACGAAGCCCCGTCTACGCATGCCGGACCTGTCCAGCCCTCCAGCGTTTCTCGCAGCCTTCTCTAGCCGCGTGTCCCGAGCAGCTCCTCCTGGGCCGGGTCTCCCCGGCTGCCGCACTCGGTCACCTCCTGCCAGCTGTCCTGATGACCAGTGGTGCTGCTGCCTGCACACCTTCTGGCCTGGGGGGCATTTGGTGTCTGTGGGGTTTGTTTCTGCTCGCCGTAGCTGTTCAAGCAGCTAAGAGCTGGTCCCACCCTCTGCTCATCTCCAAAGAGCTCCTAGCAGCCAAGAGCACAGCGCACAGAAAGTACAGCACTGAGTGAATGGTTGCTAAACTCAGGGGCTCCCCATGTTCTGAAAGCACGGGGTAAATGGGACCGTGCCGGGCACCTGCACGTGGCCTGTCACAGAGCACTTGGTGGTCACTGGGTCCACGTGAGTTCCCGAGCGGCCGGGATCGTCCACTGGATATGGCAGGGAGCACAGGGGCAGCAGCAGGGCTATGCAGCACCGGATGTCTGGCCTGCAGGGCTGGGGTGTAGGGAATGCCAGCACACTGCGAGCCAGGGAAGGATCGGCCCGCAGGTGGGGTGAGGGGTCCAGCACCTCCCGATCAGAGGAGGAGCCCCTTTCCAATTCCTCTGCCGGAACTAACCCAGCCCCAGGGCTCCTGACTCACTGGCCTGCCTTTGAGGGAGCCAGGTGCTCAGAGGGACGGGAAGAATGGTGCCGTGGGTGTACCAATCAAGGAGCCCCCAGGCAGCGTCGCTCCCATCCTGCAGGTGGAGAAACGGAGGCGCAGGAAGTCACGTCCTTGCCCACTTCATGACTTATTAATAACAATCAAAGCCCGAACAGGGATCAGAACCAGGATCGCCGCTGCCTCACAAGGCACTGCGCTCACACTGGGGTGCTAACTCAGAATCCCTCAGTGGAAGAGGACAGGAATTCCCTGTGACCGTCTAGTGAGCGCTCACCAGGCAGCAAGGCTGTCTATGCAGCTACCTCCCCAGGATCACCACTCGGGCTGTGCGGTACATTACAACAGTCTTCAAGTAGACCAATTCGTCCTACTCTCTCAATTTACCAAAGGGAGCTGGGGCTGAGGAGCGAGGGGCCGCTCGGGAGTGCATCCTGCTCCTCTCCCTCGGGCAGCCCTGAGCCCTGCTCGGGCGTCCGCACAGTAACAACCGCTGGCTTCCCCACATCTCATTTGATCATCGGGAACTTATTATCTGAAATTCTGCAGATAAGAGAAACAAGATTAAGAAAGAGCCCAGCAAGGGGCCCGAGGCAGCAGGCTGGGAAGGGACAGCACAGCCCTGGGAGTCCCTGCCCTGTCCAACACCCAGCCTGACATCCGCTGTCCTGTCCTGGACACAGAGTGCAATCAATGACACAGGAGTCAATTGCTAACTTCCAGAAAAAACATTCCCCCAATGGCCACAGCAAACCAAAGATCTGGCCATGGGACTCTCCCAAGACCTGCGCTCAAGTCCTGCCTCTGACGCTTCCGGTTGTGACCGTGAGCAGTAAGTCTTCCCCACGTCGTCTACCTTTAAACTAGGACGCTTGGTAGGAAGCACAGTGTTCTAATGTCAATGCAGGGTCAGAGCCCAGCACTGCTCCAAAGGAGCTCTGAGGCTACGACCAGAGATGCTCTTCTTCCTAGAATTCAAGCTGAGGGTTGGGACCCAAGGCTGAGGTCAGCGAATGCCCCCGGACACTCCTATACTACACTGCGGAGCCCTGGGACAGCCCCACGGAGGAGGACCCACGGGAGACTTTCCACACAACTCTCAAATACATCGGAAACTGGGCGGAAGAAATCACGGCATAGAGAACGTACAATTTACCAAATCATTTTAGATCACTTTGACCTTGCATTACAGACCAACTTCTATTAGCAGAGCAGAGAAAGTTATCAAAAAGTTACCCTCAAGAAAAGCCCCAGGGCCGGGATTTAGTTCAGTGGTTCTGCCACCTGCCTCAAAAGTGCAAGGACCGGGGTTCGATCCCCGGTACCAAAAAAAAAAAAAAAAGCCCCAAATTCAAATGGTTTTAGAAGGATGTTTTCTGCCAAAGCAGAACACCAAGCCACAGCAACAGTTGTTCTAGAAGATAGAAACAAACAAATTTCCAACGCCTTTCTTTTTTGGAAGCAGTTGCCTAAACTTGAAAGTATAGCACAAGAGAGAAAACCAAAGACCAGTGTCACTTATAAATATCCAGGTAAAAATCAAGAGTAAAGTGCTAGCAAATGGAAACAACACAATACGTTAAAATGACATCGTGACCAAAAGATGGGCTCTCGTTCCCGGATCACAGGGCGCCTGGCAAGTCTTACGCAGCCGGCCCTGTGAACAACACGCAGGGGAGAGGGTTGTACGCTTTGCTCCACAGGCTCCGGGCTCCAATCAAACCTCAAATACCCATTCCCGGTCCTC